ATCCCAAAATGTCCCTACCCAACCAACCATTCATTTTGGGAAGATAATAGTGAGAAAGGTTGACCTGTAGTTCTCTCGCGCGCAGGATAGTGATATATGATATAGGTGTGCTTGTGAAACTCCAGCTCGTAGGAAAGCACAAGGCCCACAAAGGGGTTGCTTCATCTGCTCCCCTCATCAACCACAGTGGAAGCAATCCAACGAAGGCTGGTGTGGCGGCGAGATTTGCCAAGTGCCCATCCCAATCGCAGCCACCGGTGACGAAGGCGCAGCTCTTCAGCATTGCGCGATGGGGTCGTCATGCTCCCAACGTGTTGGAACCGGGGTCAATAATTGCACCATAGGCTTCAGCCTGCTTGTCTTCCACAATATAGGGCAGTGAATTCGGGGTGGTCATAGTGACAACTGCGATCACCCAGTGAAATGATTGTTTCTGCTTTCGTCTTTCGGGCTTCCGACCTATGGGTGCTCAGCCCGGCACCAGCTCACCTTCCGCAAGGCGACCTGGTGCGGGGGTTCTGATCCGACGGAAGGGGGCGATGCACCTTGTTACTAGTAGCATCTAGCTACTATATCTACTATATAGTAGTAATGCCCTTGTTACTATTAGCGACGCACTTGCTACTAGTAGCTTCTAGCTACTAGTTGTCCACGAGAGCTTGGGCTCCCTTAGCACTGGCATCCTGTTCGATCATTCCGAGAACAGTGAAGACAGGTTTTTGTTGTTGAACAGATCCCAGTTGTAAAGCCGGTTCTTGGGTTCTTGGTCACACCTGAGGTGCTGTACAGCAATCCACAAGTCACACGCGACTCCACAGCTGAAGAGGTCCATGAAAACCGCAACTGGTTCTTTCCCTGCTTGATATGGTATGATCTTCAGTGTTCAAAAGTCGGATTGTTAAACAAAGTGATCCCAAGTCTATTCAGGTCCGTGAGCATGAAACCGCACCTATATACGAAATAGACTACGAAATAGTTTATGCCTGGTCGATTGGAAGGTTATCAAGATTGATCTCATGCCAACCAGTGACAATCTGGACAACTCTAGACCCTCATCCAAACATATCGAAACACATCCTGAAGTCTGCATATAAACCTGGACCATTCTTGCATCGTCTAGATTTGATCTTGCCACTCAAACACTGTGTGGACTGCACTTCAGGCCTCTTCAGTAGCACTTGACATTTGTGCAGGACTGCCCCCAGAGTACATGGCCTGCAGGCGCAAACCAACACAGGATGGATTTACCTCTTCACATCGGCGGCCCTTTGTTGCCAAGCCACAGCCACAACTTGTAGAATGTGTCTGAAAACCAACCAACTCTGGAGAAGGGCTAATCTTGCTCGTCCTCACAAAGAAAGTGTTTAGGGTAAAAGGGGAAGAAATCATAAGTGCATATCACGGGCCGGGGTGCCACCGAAGTGTCGCACTTTTTCGAACATCATTCGGGCGAATATATCGATGAAGAAAGCTATGAAGTGGAACACTGTTGACACACTTGCCGTTTGGAATGAGAATCTGCCGCCTCCCCAGCTTGTGCTTGCCGCGTCCGCTGGCAACATCGCACAATAAGGCTCTGAAGAGCGGCAGCCTGGGAGTTCGGCAGAATTCTCACCAATTCATGAGCGGTTATCCCACACCCTTTGTGAAGTTCTATGTTCTATCAGATTCTATCATGTTTTATCACTTTTATCTACTTGAGGATGACTCTGACCCTTGGTCAATGCTTCGCAGCCAGTGCAACTCTTCAGTTTTTACGACACCGATAGTTGAGGTGAACATCCTGGATCTCCCCCATCACCAAATAGAAATGTCTTGAGTCTGTAATTTTGTTGCAAACATGGGGGATCTAGGATATGTCATTGTCACACATACACACACACACACTCCAGTTGGTAGAAGTGTTGGTTATTTCTGAACAAAGACCATCCACTCTAAGAAACATATACTCACCAAGCATCGAGAAAGCAAACTTGTTTAACCCTGGTCACAGTTTCTCGGCGACAACAATGCAAGCCATGAGATCTGGCCACTGCATCCACAAAAGGAAGAATAGAACCAAAAATTGAAGAGAGCATACAAAGCTGAACCAACCTCGGCACACAAGTGGAAGGACCTTCAGTCGTCTTTCGTTTGCACACCAGCAACTTTAGGGGTATATCGTGCTGTGCAGTAGTAGACTTTTCGTGATCCTTCAGCCCTCCAACTCAGCGCCCGTCATCCAACTCAGTGTCGACCTTGGGCCGAGCTAGACCATAGGCAAACAAAAGGTGCCAGCGTTCCGTTTTGGACGACAAGGGTCGACCTACCTACGGTAGTAAGTAGGAAAACATTGCCGACTTTGACGAACAAGATTAAAGATTCACTCAGGAAGGGGTAAGGGCATGGGCTCGAAGATGCTCTATATAAGCATCTCTTACCAAGACCGTGTTTTTTCCCAGTGTCCTTAAATTAAGACCCTCTCGAGAAGAGACAACCAAGAGAGTAGACTAAACCAACTGCCTGGATACTTGATATCCTTGTCGCAGTCCCGAATAGGCCGTGCCGTTGCAGGTTTCACGACGACAGGTAGCCTGATAATTGTTCAGTTTGGAGTTCCAAGGCATCCACACTGAAACCGTTTCCTTTGCGGTGGAATCAGGGGTTGAGATCTGGAGAGTCAGTCCTGACCTTCAGAGGCTCAGAAAAGTTCTGGTTTATCAACAACAACGTGCAGTCTGGCTCGACTTTCTGCTCGCTTTGGGCGAGTTGCAGCTCGGCAAACTACGGCAGGGTACTGATGAACTGATGACTCTTTAACTCTTTACGCTAGATCCGCTAACAAATCTCAAGTAAGTACCTCTCCCTCCATCCACAGCTTGACAAACCGCCATAACAGAGACTGAGTCAACTTGGAAGTCCTGGTTGCAGTTTCTTCTAACATCTTCTAACCAGGACCCCAAGCATCAGGGCCACATGGTGAATAAACAAACATCCCTACGAGTCAGTCTGGACTCCTGGCGCTTCTTTCCAATATATACTCCCTTTATAGATCCATACCATACCAGCAACCTCCAACAGGTCAGCACCTGCAACTTTCTACCAAACCCTCCATTTCAAAAATCTGGAGGTGGCCATGCAGGCGAATCGACCCTTCAACAGGTGCGGTTCCTGAGCTTCGAGGCTCAGGCCTGTTCGGCCACCCCATTCCGCGTGGATCCGCACAGAACCGGGGCTACGACGGATCCCGACTCAGTCCTCGCGGGGGGGACAAACTGCATCAAACAGGGTCTCCTAGATTAAACTTCTTCGGAAGGTAGACCTCTGGAACATTCTGGAACATATTACCTCTGAAACATTCATAAACCGTGCTTGGACCTTTGGAATCGTCCTTCTGGAAACATTCACTATGGTCAGCTCGATGTCACATGTCCATCTCTTTGGGTGGAATTATTGGGAGGACTTGAGCTCCTGTCCCTCTGTTGCACATGGCGGTTCATTACAGCAGTCGACACAGAATCCAAATGTCGCCAGGGTAGTTCTCGTGCCCGTTACGAACCCGCACCTTCCAATCAAATCTTGCTTTATTCATGCTTTTTGCAACGAAGCTGTTTCACCAAATAATTCAGGATCACTCCAAGAAGGCGTGGCCCCATGGCCATGCATGGCCCCTCTTCATGGCCCGGGTCGGTCAGCTGGTCATCCTTGGTACCGCTCGAAAGGCTCCTGCGCCGCTTCACTGCGCCGTTGCCTCCTCGCGCTGTGCCGGGCGGCCTCAGAGAATGGCTTCGGTTGTGCAAGGCTTTTTCACCGCGACCTTTCCAGGGGTGACTGAAGGGTCCTTCACGGTCCTACACACCATGCGAGTGCTTCCATGGAACCTACTGGCAATGAGCCGAGAAGCAATAAGTCAAGCAAGCCGGCTTCATCGCCAAGGAGGTCCTTGCCGCGCGCCAGCCAAAAGGAGACATCAAGAGCCGGGGAGACCTTCTATGGATGAACAGTCCATCCTGCACCAGGGACAAGACCAAACAAGTTTCAAACATATCGTGAACCACTTGAAGAGAGTGCAACCAAAGCCTTATCATGCAACGTTGAGGCTCGATCTGGTCTCTCTCCTGAAATTTGGACACGCACGCATCTGCACTGGTGATGTTGCTGGGCGGCTGTATCACAGTGTCACTTTGAGGCTGTGTAAGGAAAATGAACAAGCTGGATGTCCATGTGCATTCCGATGGACCACGAGATAGCGCCTGAGCTGCTCCAAAACCATACAATATGTCAGTGGCCTTCCACTATCGGCAAGGAAAATCCTGAGTCAGCCCAGATCTTTTGGATGTAGTTCCACACTACCATACCCCATAGTTTTTGCAGGCAGCCGCCTATGTAACAAACATGTCCATCTCACGCCTTATTTGCGTTCTTTTGCGCCTGAGTCCAGCCTTGAACCTCCGACCATCGAAGGCTGCAGGCCATCAATAGACAAGCACCACGAGCGCCCAGAAAAAGACTCATCTTCATTGGTGTTGGAGACTGGGGTCGAATCCAATAGTCAAAGGGCGCCCCACTCCTCCAACAACCACCCCGGACTAGGGAACCTGTGGAAATTTGGGACTTGGGTTGACAGTCTCAAGGGGTCG